AGTTCTATCCCCGGCGGAGACAGTAACAAATGGGCATATTTTCTTTCACTGTGGTGCTCCTGTTCACGTAGCAGTAAATAGGTACCTGGAAGTTAGACAGCTGCTACGGGCTGCTTCCTGGGGATGTGTGTGTGTGTGTATGTGTGTGTATGTGTGTGTGTGTGTGTGTGTGTGTGTGTGTGTGTGTGTGTGTGTGTGTGTGTGTGTGTGTGTGTGTGTGTGTGTGTGTGTGTGTGTGTGTGTGTGTGTGTGTGTGTGTGTGTGTGTGTGTGTGTGTGTGTGTGTGTGTGTGTGTGTGTGTGTACTCACCTAGTTGTACTCACCTAGTTGTGTCTGCAAGATCGAGCATTGACTCTTGGATCCCGCCTTTCGAGCATCGGTTGTTTACAGCAATGACTCCTGTCCCATTTCCCTATCATACCTGGTTTTAAAATTATGTATAGTATTTGCTTCCACAACCTGTTCCTGAAGTGCATTCCATTTTCCCACTACTCTCACGCTAAAAGAAAACTTCCTAACATCTCTGTGACTCATCTGAGTTTCAAGCTTCCATCCATGTCCCCTCGTTCTGTTACTATTCCGTGTGAACATTTCGTCTATGTCCACTCTGTCAGTCCCTCTGAGTATCTTATACGTTCCTATCATGTCCCCCCTCTCCCTTCTTCTTTCTAGTGTCGTAAGGCACAGTTCCCTCAGGCGCTCCTCATACCCCATCCCTCGTAGCTCTGGGACGAGTCTCGTTGCAAACCTCTGAACCTTTTCCAGTTTCATTATATGCTTCTTCAGATGGGGACTCCATGATGAGGCGGCATACTCTAAGACTGGCCTTACATAGGCAGTGTAAAGCACCCTAAATGCCTCCTTACTTAGGTTTCTGAATGATGTTCTAACTTTTGCCAGTGTAGAGTACGCTGCTGTCGTTATCCTATTTATATGTGCCTCAGGAGATAGATTAGGTGTTACGTCCACCCCCAGGTCTCTTTCACGCGTCGTTACAGGTAGGCTGTTCCCCTTCATTGTGTACTGTCCCTTTGGTCTCCTATCTCCTAGTCCCATTTCCATAACTTTACATTTGCTCGTGTTGAATTCCAGTAGCCATTTCTCTGACCATCTCTGCAACCTGTTCAGGTCCTCTTGGAGGATCCTGCAATCCTCATCTGTCACAACTCTTCTCATCAACTTTGCGTCATCCGCAAACATCGACATGTACGACTCTACGCCTGTAAACGTGTGTGTGTGTGTGTGTGTGTGTGTGTGTGTGTGTGTGTGTGTGTGTGTGTGTGTGTGTGTGTGTGTGTGTGTGTGTGTGTGTGTGTGTGTACTCACCTAGTTGTACTCACCTAGTTGTGCTTGCGGGGGTTGAGCTCTGGCTCTTTGGTCCCGCCTCTCAACCGTCAATCAACAGGTGTACAGATTCCTAAGCCTATTGGGCTCTATCATATCTACACTTGAAACTGTGTATGGAGTCAGCCTCCACCACATCACTTCCTAATGCATTCCATTTGTCAACCACTCTGACACTAAAAAAGTTCTCTCTAATATCTCCGTGGCTCATTTGGGCGCTTAGTTTCCACCTGTGTCCCCTTGTGCGTGTGCCCCTTGTGTTATATAGTCTGTCTTTATCTACCCTATCAATTCCCTTGAGAATCTTGAATGTGGTGATCATGTCCCCCTAACTCTTCTGTCTTCCAGCGAAGTGAGGTTTAATTCCCGTAGTCTCTCCTCGTAGCTCATACCTCTCAGCTCGGGTACTAGTCTGGTGGCAAATCTTTGAACCTTTTCCAGTTTAGTCTTATGCTTGACTAGATATGGACTCCATGCTGGGGCTGCATACTCCAGGATTGGCCTGACATATGTGGTATACAAAGTTCTGAATGTTTCTTTACGCAAATTTCTGAATGCCGTTCGTATGTTGGCCAGCCTGGCATATGCCGCTGATGTTATCCTCTTGATATGTGCTGCAGGAGACAGGTCTGGCGTGATATCAACTCCCAAGTCTTTTTCTTTCTCTGACTCCTGAAGAATTTCCTCTCCCAGATGATACCATTACCCCGTCACTTTTCCTCTTGTCCTCCTCACCATCTCTCACTTCCGTCCCATCGTCATCCCCACCATTCCCCACTCCCTCGTCCGATGCCTTCCCAAATGGTCCGATGTTGCCATCAGAAAATTGGGAACATCAAGTGATCTGATGTTCCTATCACTGAAATATAAGAAAAACAGTTATAAAATTAAATGAAATTATGAAAAAAATAATAAAATAAACTATACTCATGAAATGAACGGTATGGTAATCAACACAGTTCAATTCCAACGGAATTCACACAAAAAATAATTAAATCAAAATGAAAATAAATCAAAATCTATGAAAATTCAATTTATCAATGCAATCAGAAATATTGAAATGGAATTGTAACATATATAGTATAGTAAGTGTGTTGCTCTTATAGGCAACAGATGGCGTTGTTTGTCAAGAAAAGCATAGTTTTACCTGTCACAGGTGTGGCATCTATACTTATACTTACGAAATGAACGGTATGGTAAACAACACAGCTCAGTTCCAACACAATGTCACACAAAATAATTCAATACAAAATAAAATCAGATATAAGTAAAATAATGCAATCAGAAACATTGAAATGGAATTCGTGACATATTTAGTATAGCGTGAATACTGCCATTATGTGCAACAGATAGCGCTGGGTTTCAAAAAAGCATGTTTTTACCTGTTATAGGGGTGGCATCTATATAGCAGGTATATAAAAAGACGCACCTATTCGAATGCAACGTTGTGTCAAAATTTCCAAGCAATCGGTGAAGAACTTTTGGAGATTACAGCGTATGTTGCTCTTACGTCCAACAGATGGCGCTGTTTTTTAAAAAAAACATGTTTTTTTTACTGTCACAGGTGAGGCATGTATATAGTAGATATATAAAAAGACGCGCCTATTTGAATGCAACGGTGTGTCAAAATTTCAAGGCAATCGGTAAAGAGGTTTCGAAGATTTCCCTCACATGAAAAACACATGAAAAAACACATTTTTTTTCAGAAAAAGCATGTTTTTTTTACCTTCACAGACGTGACATCTAAATAGTATGCATATAAAATCTTGGCTGGATGTGAATGGAACATTGTGTGAAAATTTCAAAGCAATCGGTGAATAACTTTTGGAGATTAGCGGTTTTGAACAAACGAACATTTCCATTTTTATTTATATAGATATCAATACTAACACCCGTGGCGTAGTGGTAACACACTAGCTCCATGTCTCGTGATCAAATTCATCTGGGTTCGAACCTTGGCCATGTAGGATTGACTTGGCGCTAATTCATAATTGTTTGCCCATGCCAACCCACCAGTAATTGGAAACCTGGTTTGTAAACTGATTGCTGGGTAGTGTTTCAGGAAAAACTAGTTGGGGTAAGGCAAAACTTTCCATAATGAGCTATGGAAAGGGAAGGCTCTAAGCCCGCTGACGATGTCTGGATTTTCAAACAGAAAAGGCAGCAAACATCACTAACACGTCAGGTTGGATAACAAGAACCTTTCACACTAGAGATGCTATACCAATGATGATATTTTTCAAGACGTTAGTGCTCTCTACACTGGAATACTGTTGCACAATGACAGCTTTAAAAGCTACAGAAATTGCTGACCTTGAGAGCGTGCAGAGATCCTTTACTGTTATAATCCGCTCATTAAAACATCTAAACTATTCGGAACGACTAAGATGCCTAAACCTAAAGTTTCTCTAGAGCGCAGGCTGGAGAGATACATGATAATTTACACGTGGAAAATAGTAGAGGGGCTGGCCCCAAACCTGCACACACAGAAATAACATCACATGAGACCAGAAGGCATGGCAGGATGTGCAGAATAACCCCGTTGAAGATCAGAGGTGCCACAGATACTCTGAGAGAGAACTCTATCAACATCAGAGGGCCGAGATTGTTCAACACGCTTCCACTACACATAAGAGGCATAACTGGCCGACCCCTCACAGTGTTCAAGAGAGAACTTGATAAACACCTCCAAAGGATACATCAACCAGGCTGTGATTCATACGTCAGGCTGCGAGCAGCCGCGTCCAACAGCCTGGTTGACCAGTCCAGCAACCAGGAGGTCTGTTCGGGGACCGGGCCGCGGGGACGTTGAGTCCCGAAATCATGGGTAACCTTAAGGTAACACCCGTACTGAAACCATTACAGACACAAAACCTCCTCCTTGAACCTCCTCGTCAGGAGCAGAACAGACTCATTTCGGCCACAAGTGAAAACAAAGTCTTGTAGAAACTGTGACGATGTATACACAGGAAACAAACTAAGATCACAGGATTTGAGAATGTAAATATTCGTCTCAAGAGGATGAGAGTACGAACTCGTCACGCACAAACACCACGAACAACACCAGGCCAACTTTAAGGATGTTAACATACCCTTCACAAAAGAAAACATTAGAAGAGAGAGTATAGCAACTCCAGCCACCAAACATTACAACACCATACGGATTGCAGGAAGTTTGGTATCGTAAACACACTTTGTACCTCAAAAAATACATATTATGACCAACTTAATTCCACGTTTTATGTCTTTACTCAATTTCACTTCAACCTTCTTTTATCCTTCATAAGCAGCTAACTTTGTGGATATTATTCAGCCCGTCCTCCTAAGGTTTCCTAACATCAAGAAACTGTCCTACTAAAGTGCCCTTATCCTAACCCACCAGAGGACCCAAAACAGAAAACGGGCCAGTATGTCAATTTTGCGAGCCGCTTCCATTTTCTAGCACGACAATTTCTGGCCTTAGATAGGGTACACGTCAAAATGCGACGTTCTATTATAAGGACGTGTTGACATTACCCTCACTGAGGGTAGGATACAGTCTGGATGTTGGTGGTTCCTGCTGCCATGTTGTTCAGGGGTTTTCTTGATGTATAGACTTTCTAGTTCTTCTGGCGTGCCTGTAACGTGTTAATGTCTTGTGTTTACCCCCGGCGCAGGGTGCTGACCTTCTGGTATCTGCCGGTGTTCAACGCCTGGCTGCTGTTGTGCCCGTGGACGCTGGCGCACGACTGGCAGATGGGCTCCATCCCGCTCATCACCTCCATCATAGACACCAGAAACATCGCTTCTCTTTTGTTCTACGGCGCCCTTGTACTTATACTCAGAGCTGGATGCTTGATGAAGGTAATATAATATTTGGCAGTGTTGCGGTTGTGTTTTATCTGTATTATTTACACCCACCCACCACACACACCTGCCTATCCACCACACACAACTTCCTACCCAATACACACACCTGCTTGACCAACTACCCAAAGACCTTTTACCTGTGAATACCTGCACAGGTAAAAGATCTTTACACAAAGCTCTCTCTCTCTTGTTATTAACGACCATCAGGAGCAGCTTCTCTCTTATCCTCTCCTCCTCCACCTCCTCCTTTTCTCATCCTCTCTTCTCCTCTCCTCTCCTGATGTCTCTATCATATTTACATTTTGTTTGCATTCTACCCCTGGATGAATTCCTCTTTTAAGCTGTTTCCTTTGGAATTTGCATCAGATATTTTACGAGTATTCTATATTGAACCGCTTCCTCCAGTTCAGTTGTGTGTGTGAGAGACAAACAGAAAGAAGGGATGAGGTAGAAATCTGAGGACATGTAGTGGGAGGGATGGTGCAGAAAGGTGTACGAGATATATATATATATATATATATATATATATATATATATATATATATATATATATATATATATATATATATATATTGACGATATATATATGCAATTGACGATCACAAAACACTGATCATTTTATGCGGAAAATCCACAGAGAAATATGAAATGAGGTGAACGTTTCGGCTTTGTTAAAGCCTTTGTCAACACCAGACTGACTCAAGTCAGTCTGGTGTTGACAAAGGCTTTAACAAAGCCGAAACGTTCACCTCATTTCATATTTCTCTGTCGATTTTCCGCATATATATATATATATATATATATATATATATATATATATATATATATATATATATATATATATATATATATATATATATACTGGTAGTGTTGGCAGTGTGAGCAGTCAACCGCCAACAGTCTTCCAACCACCCACACGACGCCAACTCCCCAGTGATCTCATTATAAAAATATGACCCTTGGCTTTGACTCATATTTCTGTAACAACCTTTTAGTAGACAAGTGCTCTCCTGACCTCCCCCCCCCCTCCTCTCCTGCACCTCCAGGCTCTCCTACAGCCACTCTTGTTTATTTCCCTAACTTCCATCCCCCCGGCAGGGGAATGGCGACTCTCGTTTAATTCTGAATGTTCCTCAAACTGAAAACTTCCCCAAGCTCCTAAAACAACGGATTTTACTGCAGTATGTATTACTCCTGGATTTGTTTTGATCCAATTTCTGCAAAATTCTGTGGCGTCTTTTCAGTGTGTTTTATTCTAAATACTTATTTTTGAATGAACCAGTTCAATACAGTTCCTGTATTGAACTGTCCCGTTGAACGAAGCGAAAGGTGTGTTAGCCTTTGTCAGGTTTATTGACCCTTAAAATTACCTACAAATAATTTAAAAGAATTTATTAATCAACGTTATTGCTTGCACCCTCATGTAAACACCGCTCCTATAAACTCACACACACACACACACACACACACACACACACACACACACACACACACACACACACACACACACACACACACACACAGTCTCTCTCTCTTCCTCCCGTGTAATTGCTCCCCAACACAAGCGTGACAGTTGCCTAAGTTACCCTCATCTCGCTCCTCTGTGCCCTTACTCGCCACGCACGACCTTGCCTGCTCCTGTCCGTGCCTGTCCTCGCCAGTTCTTGAGCGGTGTTTTTCTCTCCTCGTGCAGGGCCAGGAGGGGCGGGCGTTGCTGCTGGGGCTGGCGCTGCTGGTGCTGCCATTCCTCCCGGCCACCAACCTCCTCTTTACCGTCGGCTTCGTCATCGCCGAGAGGATACTCTACATCCCTAGGTGGGTTCTGGTGTGTGTGTATGTGTGTGTATGTGTGTGTGTGTGTGTGTGTGTGTGTGTGTGTGTGTGTGTGTGTGTGTGTGTGTGTGTGTGTGTGTGTGTGTGTGTGTGTGTGTGTGTGTGTTTTATACCGTTACTCAAGTATTAGGACACCGTCTGTGTGCTCTAGATCCCCCAGATGAATGACTGAAGTGTTGCATCACCGAGACAAGCTGCCAGTGTGAATGTCTAAGACACAAGAATCATCTTGGCCCCGGGCAGGAGCGGTAGTTGTACCGCCGTCAACACATATCAAAAGGTATTAGCAACAAAACGAGCAGAAATATTCTAGCAAATAGATAACAAAGCATTAATAACTGAAGTAATTCACCTGAAGACGGGCAGAGAAATGCAGATGAAAAATCAGCAACTGCAGGAGCAAGAGTGATCATAGCAGCAGCAACAGCAGCAAGTTATATGTAAATCAGCAGGAGGAGCAGTTAAAAGTACATTAGCAGCAGCAGCAGCTAAATCACCAAGAAGAGCAGATACAAACAGCAGTAGCAGTTACAGGAGGAGTAACGAGCCTATAATCGCAACAGAGACAATTCCCTACATCAGTAAAAGTTGAATAGCAGCAGCACAAGCAACAGTAGCAGTTGCAAAAGCAGTAACAGTTGCATATGACGATGAGTAGGAGGACGATGAGGAGGAGCAGGAGGAGGAAGAGGAGGAGCCGTCCAGATGGCCGGGTGCAGGAGGACACGCAGGTCTGTGAGACATGTGCTAGTAATGGTCATTTCTATCCGGCTGCCTTGTCCACCTCCACTAGATGTGCTGCTGCTCCTCTTCTCATCCGGCCCGCACACTCCACCGATATACCATATATAGTCTTCTCATCCGGCCCGCACACTCCACCGATATACCTCATATAGTCTTCTCATCCGGCCCGCACACTCCACCGATATACCTCATATAGTCTTCTCATCCGGCCCGCACACTCCACCGATATACCTCATATAGTCTTCTCATCCGGCCCGCACACTCCACCGATATACCTTATATAGTCTTCTCATCCGGCCCGCACACTCCACTGATATACCTTATATAGTCTTCTCATCCGGCCCGCACACTCCCTGATATACCTTATATAGTCTCCTCTCTCCTGCCTCGTTTTTAGCACCTTTCTCTATCCTCATAAATATTCTTATTCTTGGTTTGCTTCGTCTAGTTCTTTCAAGGTTAAGTTTCTTTGTGTTTCTTATTTTACAACTTCGCTTTCATATTATTATTAGTCCTGAGAAAAGTTAAAGAACTTGACTCAATACCTGACTCAAACACTCGTGTTTGTCCTCGGGAGCCACGCTGAGAGAAATAAATGTCCTTGTTAAATTATTGACTATCAGCCGAGACGCTCCAGATCGCATTCACGGTCTCTTGACAGTTTATCTAAAGTTTTGTAAAGTATTCTTAAGACAGCCAATGCCCTCTACCTTCTCTACTCCTTCCCATTCTCTTTACCCTTCTTCATCTCTCTCTCTCTCTCTCTCTCTCTCTCTCTCTCTCTCTCTCTCTCTCTCTCTCTCTCTCTCTCTCTCTCTCTCTCTCTCTCTCTCTCTCTCTCTGTCTCTCTCTCTCACACACACACACACACACACACACATCACATTTAAAATAAGATACTATCTGTATTCTGGCTTATAAATATTCATTTCTAGCTGGATTTGTAAAACCATTTGAAAAATTGACTAAAATCAATTACCTTCTTCAGAAAAATATAAAAGTTCTTGAAACAAATACGAGAAAGGGGTTAGAAGTCGGAATGTTCGTGTAGCACAAGACTTTACTAAAGAATAAGCAGACTCCTTTTAAGTGATTCTGCAACAGTGCTGGTGTAATATTGACCCAAAACACACATCCCAATATGTACAATAACTACACAATGAAGTCACCCCAGGTAATGAGTGCGTCTGAGGGTGACCTGGTACGCTGGAGCGATTCCATTGCCCTACTCCAAAGATTATATATTTTCATTGAATTTTATGTAACAAATTATACTTAATCAAATAAACAGCGGATCTGATAATGTATAAAATGCATAAAATACAGGACGCGAATTTAAACAAAGTGCATAATTTGGGCAATTACGCAAGGGCCTCTTATGAGACAAGCTATTAACTGAAATAATTAATGATCTATACAAATTAAAACATAATTAGTTCAGTGAACTATCGCGTTCAGTACAGCAATGATGAGCCATCACACTAAGGCTCCCAGGCACTAGTATGCCAACTGTAAAGTTATTCTCCCTCACCGCTCCTCATGTATAGAATTAATACATTTATTGAATATAACATGTATACGTTGAAACACGGGGGAAAAGTATGCTAAACCATAAGGGAGATTGCTATTTAAAATCCTTGGAGGGTTACCCGGCAGTGCCCGGGACAGACTGTCTCTCCCTACAAATCTTCCATCTCCCCCCCCCCATCCTTCCCCACCTTCCCCACCCCTCTTCGCCACCTTTCCCATCCCCCTTCTCCCCTTCCATCTCCTGTTCCTCCCGTCTCCCATTTTCTCCTTTTCTCTTCCACCCTCTTCCCCATCTCTAAGGCCTCCAACCTCAGATATACAGATATTTCGATGTATATATATATACATATATATATATATATATATATATATATATATATATATATATATATATATATATATATATATATATATTTATATATATATATATATATATATATATATATATATATATATATATATATATATATATATATATATATATATATATATATATATATATATTTATATATATGAATGTATACTGTATAATTAAAGTTCTCGGAAAAAGTTTTGGCAATTTTGGCAATACATCTTTCATGAGTAATACTGCCAGATAAATATCATTTAACCGGGAGATAAAGTGAACAATTCCCGCAGTCTACCAATTTTTTTCGGGTTTATAATAACTGTGCAGAGAAGTTCTCCACCAGACGTGTTCAGTCTTGTGTTAACTATCTTCTACACCATCTCTTTCCACCCAGTTCATATAAATTTCATGAAACTGAATAACATTACAAAGCCGGATAAGTTTAGGAGCGCCGGCTCCTGCCTGCTCACTACTGACCTTTTTTAGAGCTTTACTACTTAAAGTTCATGACCCTCTTGACCTTTGATGACTTTGGGGAGATATAAGAGCTGCCTGAACTACTTTCATCCCTCCACACGCTAACAACTCAGTCCGTGGTGGTATTTGTGGCAGTAAATATATCCTTAAAAGTAAAGACGTGGCACTAGCTTGCTTTGATTTGGCACTTGAGCGCGAGTGTGGCACTAGAGCGCGAGTGTAGCACTAGAGGTCGCGGATGTGCTCTAGGGTACCGGAGCTTAATGCATAACAGAGCACTTAAACACAGCGACATGAAAAAAAACAAGTCGCAAAGAACACAGAGCGTCAAAGAACACAGCGTCAAAGAACACAGAGCGTCAAAGAACACAGAGCGTCAAAGAACACAGGCGTCAAAGAACACAGAGCGTCAAAGAACACAGGCGTCAAAGAACACAGGCGTCAAAGAACACAGAGCGTCAAAGAACACAGAGCGTCAAAGAACACAGAGCGTCAAAGAACACAGCGTCAAAGACCGGAACGTTTAAGAACATAGACGCTTACCACTCGAATAAATCTCCTGCTGATGTCTTGGGAAGTTTTAAAGTTCAAGTCAGTGACATCTCATGATTAATTGAACCCGAATCAATCACCGATTGATTCGATAACATTTATAGATCCCAAATGTTGAAAATCTAACATTTACAACTATAAATAAATATAAATAATTGTTTTATATAAAGAAATATAAAAATTCCAAACTTTTAGGACCCTTAACACCCAGACCTTAAGCGCTTATAACGTTTACGACCCTAAGTTTAAATTTAAGAACTTAGGTTTAAGAGACTAACGCTTAAAGAACATTACCGTCAAGATCCCAGACGCCCCAGGCATAGTTTAGTCAACGTAGGACCAAGTGACGCTAATCTATGATACAGGATAAAGGCAGACCAGCAGCGTCGCGGCCAGAAGCCTCTCCTGAGGTAAACTAAGCATCTCTGGTCAACACCTCTTATGATAGAACACGCCGGGGTGGAGGGGATGGAAGGGGCTACTCTAAAGAGGCAAGGGAAAGGGGGTAAATGAGAAGGGAAGGCTACTCTAAGGATAGGAGAGAAAGGGCGATTAGTCCTTAACATCGTCTCAGGCAAGTCCTTATTCTGAATATGGATCGTATGGTGGCTTCAAATATATCATTGAGTGCTATATATATATATATATATATATATATATATATATATATATATATATATATATATATATATATATATATATATATATATATATATATATATATATGCATATATTCATAAAGTATTTGTTAAATGGACCATGACAGTAGTAGTGGGCATCCATCAGTCTCACGAGACTATGGAGTTGCGCTCTGGTTGTCGGTCTGGAGTAACCTAGCTCTCCAGGGCGCAAAGCCAGGGTAGGTTGATACGGAGAAGCTGTTACCCATGCAGCAGGTCCCCCTCTCTACGGCGCCGAAAGTCTCCAATGGAAATGCAAACGCCAATACGATTGGTTCACAGTAAAAACAACACAAAATCGGCTAATATTTGTTCACCCGGCCTATGGACCGTCACAGTAAAATAAGACAACAAAACCCAACCTCCCAATATTCGTTCACCGTCACACCGTCACTATGGACCGTCACAGTAAAACAACAATGTAATAACAAATCTAATTTAAACTTTTAAATTGAAATTTAGGCTCATAACATTCCCACTTTCAGAGGAATCATGTTAGAGTTACATTTTGCTCCCGAAATTGACGACCTGAAAAGTTCTGAATGACTAAACTTAGTCCCATCTGGAACGTAAAGTTCGAAGGTAGCTAGGCAGATCTTTCAAGATTTTGTGAATGTGTTACAGTAAAGAAATCCCAGTAAAGAAAGCCAGCCAGTAAAGAGATCCCAGTATAGAAGTCCAGCCAGTAATCACTAGAGTTGGAATCCTGAGTCCGAGACTCAAGATCTTCACCCATTTAAATTCAAAGTATTTTTTATAAACATATTCAGGTACATGTACATTTATGCAGCTCCCCTAAACTATATGAAAGGTTACATAGTGTCAAGAACTAGCTATGTGCTGCTAAAAATCCCCATTTCACAGAATATTTAGTCGTGCAGGGTCATGTGTTCAGTAGCTTGCTCTGGCGAATTTTGGATGCATTATGAGGATATTCTCAAGCACACGAGAGGTAATAAAGCTCCTGGTACCGTGTACCAGCAGGTCTGAAGACTCCAGTGAAAGTATTAGTCAAATTAAGTACCGAACACTAGTTGCTTTCTCGTCTTGTTCATTTTGCTCAAGCCTGCGGCCATGAGGTTAGGAATAGTAATATAATATGATAATGGCAAGAGTGGCGTTGATGATGCTGGCATTGATGACAATGGTGGTGAGTGGTGGTGAAGACAGTGAGGTTGATGACAGTCGTGGTGATGACAATGGTGGTGATGACAATGGTGGTGATGACAATAATGGTAATGACAGTGGTGGTGATGACAGTGGTGGTGATGACAATGGTGGTGATGACATTGAGGTTGATGACAGTGGTGGTGATGACAATGGTGGTGATGACAATAATGGTAATGACAGTGGTGGTGATGACAATAATGGTAATGACAGTGGTGGTGATGACAGTGGTGGTGATGACATTGAGGTTGATGACAGTGGTGGTGATGACAATGGTGGTGATGACATTGAGGTTGATGACAGTGGTGGTGATGACAGTGGTGGTGATGACAGTGAGGTTGATGACAGTGGTGGTGATGACAATGGTGGTGATGACAGTGGTGGTGATGACAGTGAGGTTGATGATAAGTCTGATAACAATAACTTTGGCGAGGCAAAAATAGTATAATGTGCTCTTTAATATGACAATTTAATATATTTTTTTTTTTTGCATTCTTGAAGATTCCGTGAGATGTGAGCCTTGTAGCGCTGTCGGGTCGCAGGCGAAAGGGTCTGGGTTCCGTTCTTACGCCAGAACGGAAGTCTTTGGGCACCGTTTCATTTCGCCTCATATCTCTGTTCACCTAGCAGTAAACAGCAACCCGGGAGTCAGAACACTATTGTGGCTAGCATCCTGGGAGAGTCAGTGATTGGTCTAGGGGTAACGTATGTTAGTGTAATATACGCTTATTGTCCCCCTTAGCCAAGGGAACTTTGCAAAGTTTAGGGGGAAATGGAACTTGACTAAATTGGCATAGGAAAGGAGGTTGGCTAAGTTAGCGTGGGAAAGGGCTTGGCTAAATGACGGAGGAAGAGAGTTTGGCTAAGTTGGCGGGGATAATCAATGAGGACGCATTGGAGAAGTAGCCAAGTTGGCGGAAATGTAAATGATTACAATGATTTGGGTGAGAGTAACCCAATCGGAGGGAGTTGAACATTACGAGGGCATTAGTTGGGCGATGTTATAAATCAATCCCGAGACGCGGGGCTGTAAATGAATTTAACAAATAGGTAAATCGTCGGGAAATGTAAATCACTGGACGGGAGGCGAGGAAGCAGCTGACGAGTATTGTAAATGATACTGGGGAACGGAGCTAACTAAACTCGGCGCTGTAAATGGCAGGTGAATTCGAAGGAGAATTGTAAGTTACCGAGAGCGTAAATAGACGAGGTGGTTGTAAATAAGTTTGTGGTGGGGAGTCGGGCAGTAAACAAGACCAGAGAATCTCTGTGAGACAAGTGAGGGGAAAAGTGAGAGTTGAAGGCTGTAAAATTAAAAAATTACAGAACCATATGTACTGGTTTAATATTATTTGTCAGACTGTAATTCATATAAAGTAATTGATGAGTAAGAAAGTGAAAACCGCGACCCCACGCCCTGCGAGGTCCCAGTGTACACGTCCCGCGAGGTCCCAGTGTACACGCCCCCGCGAGGTCCCAGTGTACACGTCCCGCGAGGTCCCAGTGTACACGTCCCCGCGAGGTCCCAGTGTACACGCCCCGCGAGGTCCCAGTGTACACGCCCCGCGAGGTCCCAGTGTACACGCCCCGCGAGGTCCCAGTGTACACGCCCCGCGAGGTCCCAGTGTACACGCCCCGCGAGGTCCCAGTGTACACGCCCCCGCGAGGTCCCAGTGTACACGCCCCGCGAGGTCCCAGTGTACACGCCCCGCGGGGTCCCAGTGTACACGCCCCGCGAGGTCCCAGTGTACACGCCCCGCGAGGTCCCAGTGTACACGCCCCGCGAGGTCCCAGTGTACACGCCCCGCGAGGTCCCAGTGTACACCCTCTCCCCACACTCGCCAGCGACTAACCCCCTCCCATTCGCCAACGACCCTCACACGAACTTCTCCCACCTTTCCCCTCTCGCCAATAACAACTTGAACACGTACCCTCGCTCCCCGAGTAATTAATTTGCGTCCTTGTTTCTCCAGCCTGGGCTACGCGATGCTGGTGGGCGTGGCCCTCTCGCGGGCGGGACGGCTGAGGGCGCCCTGCCTCCTGCTGCTCCTCGTCGCCGCCTCCTGCAGGACGCTACAGAGGAACCGGGACTGGGAATCCAGGGAGACGCTCTTCTTGTAAGTCTTGCTAGTGATTGGGAAGGATTTAGGATTATTCCTGAAGGGATTGTGGCAGGGTTAGGTGGGAAGCCCAAGCATCCCAACTAATCTATCGAGGCCCATGCATCGAAAACGTTTATATCACGATGGTTTTATTGTTACTAACACGTCACATTTTCCACGGAGTGGTGGATGCCGTACAAAAATCGACTCATTGGGAAGACAAGATGTGTAATAAGGATGTGTAATAGCAAGTTTTAATAGCAGTAATATCACTAGTTATTACCAATTAACGCTAGTTACGCAGTATTCAGGATCATCCCTCACACCAACTCACCTAGTTGTGCTTGAGGGGGTTGAGCTCTGGCTCTTTGGTCCCGCCTCTCAACTGTCAATCAATTGATGTACAGATTCTTGAGCCTACTGGGCTCTTTCATATCCACATCTCAAAATGTGTATGGAGTCTGCCTCCAACATTTATTAACTATTCTGACGCTAAAAAAAGTTCTTTCTAATGTCTCTATGGAATATTTGGGTACTGTAAGCATATACGTCCATTTTGAAATATATACGTCCGCATATATCCTTGATCGTCGGCCGTCTTAAACGGGTGTGTTACGGACCCGAATCCAGCGTCCGAGCCTGGAGCAGTGACGACCGCGCCATCTGTGGGTCAGCTCCTGAAAACCCCTCCAAATGGACGACGACACCTGGTGAGGACGAGGTGTACTGGCCACGAGGGCCAGTTTCCGGTCCTGTTCAGCTCACAACACAGCCGCTGCTGACCTCTGGTGAGGTGGTGCTCAGACAACAACGCCATCTATGGAGTGGATAGGTGAGCGTTTGGGTCTGAGCCTGTAAGTGAGGTGCTTTAGTGTGTCCCTGTTATTGATGACGTGTCTGCTTACAGAGTCGACCTGGGACTGCTGTAAGGGAAGTTGAGTCAGTCTACCCAAGGCAGCCGTCTCGTCACCAAGTGTTTGCTGCAGCAACTGTGAGTCGCCTCCCGGATGAACACTGTGGTGTTACCCTGCCTGTGAAGCGGCAGTTGAAGGATTGTCATACCCGGGGCTGACTGGTGGAGACGCTTAACCACTGGGGTATTGTGGAAAGGAGAGTGATCTGTGGTATCACACGAGGCTCCTGACTAGGGCGCGACCCTAGTATCGCTCGTGGAGTGGCCAAACCAGCGTGGCTGATTCGGAACCTGCCAGCTATCTGCTGGACTTGTGGTTGACGGCCTCCACGGCGGAGCCCCTAGTGGAACTGTGTTTTGGCTGGCCTGTGGCCGGGGTAGACTCAAGCTTCTCGAAGGATTCGTCGTGAGGCTACGAGAGCACCAAGACCTTAGCCCCGTGAACGTCCAGGGTCTTCAGAGGAAGACTACATAGTGTATATAATAGTGTTTATACCCCACCCCCCCCCCCGTGTAATCTTATATATATTTATTGGTGATGGTAATAATTATAGTATTAAGTTCTTGACTTTATTTCCCTTCCCCTTTAAGTTACTTGCATTACGGATCTCATCCCTTGAAAGCCACTACTGGCTTGGGGCCGGATACCCTTCCTCTAACAACATCAGAGTAAGAACCCGGTTGCGACCCGAAAGGGCCGTAACATAATTGGCATCCCCAGCGGGATCCGTCCCCTTGTCAAGTATGTTTGACAGGGGTGGTGAAGTAGCGTAATCCCTGTAAATAATTCCCCCTGTGTGTGACGATTGGGACGTTATACGTCCTGTGCGGTGCTCGGTGTGATTCAGTGCTATATTGTAGAGCGAAGTGCTCGCTGTGATTAAAGTGCAATATTGTGTAGTGCGATGCCCGAAGTAATTATGTGCAATATTGGCAAGTGCAGTGTTTGGTGCGATAAAGTGCAATATTGACGTTGAACAGTGCTCGGTGCATCAAGTGCTAAAGTTGAGCGGTGTGTTAAGTGCTAAGTGTTCCATCTGTAACAATGGCAGAAAAAGCTACCATCGATGATCTGGACGATGTTCAGGCTTTTCTGAACAGAGAGGACTGTCTTTCCAGATTAAATATCTGAGCAAACCGGAACTTGTACTAGTTAGTGCCTACCTGGAGATCAAGATCCGTGCCAGTGATTCCCGTGTGGAGATCTTGTCAAAGGTTCACCGACATTTGAAGGCCGAAGAAAAACAGGAAGGTGAGGTACCAAGTACAAAAGAAGGTGAGGAAGTAGCTTCCATTGAAAAGGAAGATAAAGGCAGTGACATTGACAGTGATGCAGGTGAGCTAAATATTAGCTTGCTAACAGTCAAAATGCGTGCCTTAGAGATAAATCGTGAGATAGAATGGAAGTTAGAAATAGAACGAGAATTAAAAGATAAAGAAATGGAGATGAAAGAAAAAGAATTGGCGATGGGGCGTTTAGATTAGAAAGAGAAGAGAAACGAGAGAGAGAAGAGCGAGAAAGAGAAGAAAGAAGAGAAGAACGAGAAAGAGAGAGAGAAGAGCGAGAAAGAGAAGAGAAACGAGAAAGAGAAGAACGAGAAAGAGAAAGAGAAGAACGAGACAGGCAAGAACGACGGGACAGAGGAAAGAGAGACAACATGAACTAGAAGTATTGCGGTTAGGTGGTCGGAGGCAAACAACGGACACCAGTAGTTTCGATCCGGTAAGGAACATCAAAATGGTCCCAAAATTCAACGAGAAGGAAGTTTCAAAGTTCTTCGCAGCCTTCGAGAAAGTCACTGCCTCTTTGGAGTGGCCAAGGGAGAATTGAGCCATCATGATACAGTCAGTCCTGACTGGGAAGGCCCAAATCGCCTACTCCACGTTATCCCTTGACGACTCCAGCGATTACGACAAGGTGAAGAAGGTCGTGCTCATGGCGTACCAATTGGTACCTGAGGCTTACAGGCAGAAGTTCAGGAACCTGAAAAAGACCTCAGAGCACACTTTCACCGAATTCGCCACTATCAAGGAGCGACTTTTCCAGGAATGGTGTGCTTCTCGGAAGGTGGAGACCAAAGAAGACCTCGAGCAGCTCATACTGCTAGAGGACTTCAAAGACTGTCTGTCTGGAGATCTAAAGACGTATCTAGAGGAACAGCAGGTAGAGACCTTGAGTGCGGCAGCCACAATGGCTGAGGAATACATCCTGACTCATAGGCCGTCTGCTAGGTACGTCCCGAAGACCTACTCAAGATATCCAGCCAAACATAAACCGGAGGATAAAACTGCCCCTCGCAGTGCCGCCAAGTCAACCTCAGATAGCCCTCGAAGGACCAGTCCTAATAGTCCGAAACACCGGAGTCCGAGGAGCAATATGGTGTGTTGGACTTGTGGGCAAAAAGGGCATGTAGCTGCGATGTGCCGAGGCAGAAGAGGTAGCGGCGCACGTAGGGAGGTGATGTTGATGAGCTGTGTGAAACCACCAGAAGAAAGCCAGTCTATGACTACGCAGGAAGAACCCAGATTGTTTTCCCCTCACACTTCAAGCGGGTATGTAACGAGTGATCATACTGGTAGATCAGTTGTAGTGCTCAGAGATAGTGGAGCAGCCCAGTCCCTGATCATGAGAGACTTGTAACCCGAGGGAGTGAGAGTAGACGGGAGACAAAAGGTTATCCTGGTTGGGTTTCCTACGACGCAGTACATCGCCCCCTTAGTGTCGATACAACTCGACTCGCCTTATTTCAGCGGCACATGTGCGTTGGCTGTAGTCGATGCCTTGCCTATAGCTGGGACTGACGTGGTACTAGCCAACGACTTGGTGACAGATTGGAGCAACAATCATCCCAAGATTATGGACGAGTCAGCCGGAACAGCAAGGTCTGAGGTAACAACAGGCAGTGGTAATGTCCAGGTACAGTCAGACCCGGAATCAGGTAATATGTTTAATCCTTCCTCTCACCCACAGATCAACAGTATTCTAGCAGAGTCCCCTAATTCTTCTCCCGACGAGGAACATGAGGTTACGATGACAGAGGCAACTGAGCATGAAGAGAGGTCTCGTGTGCAAGCACCCACAGATACCAACGAGTCTGGAGCGAAGGCGGATGTGTACTTGCGGTATGGCAAGGTACAGCATTCTTTGAACCGGCCAGAGATTCCCCAGACGTCGGAGGTATGTGAGGTATGTGCGAAGGTTTTAATGCCCTCTTCAATCCAAACCAGGCTAATGGATATAGCCAGTTATGGACATTACAGGCTCAGGAAGCTTATCCCTCAATTGGCCGCATGTCTCTTAGCGGTATTTTGTTTTATTCTCGTGTGTGCTCTCAGTAAGGACCAGTGGACGACCCGACAGATGATGGCTCCCTTGAACATCGAGAAGAGGTCCCAAGGATTGGAGACGTGCACAGTGAGTGTTGCAGTTGAAGAAGGGACCTGGAAGGTGATGGTAGACACAGGAGGTACGAGATATGCTATTATGAGTGACTGTTTCCGACAGGTTGACACCCCCCGCGTGATAGCCGAGCCTAAATGCAGCGTTATGTGGAACGTTGGTCGACCTGACGGTAGCAGAGCGAATACCATCCTCGATGTACAAGCAGCTCTGTTGGAACTAGGTGTGAGCCTAGTAGAGGCGTATGTTGTGAGTACTGATTTGACTGTCGCTGTCACTCTAAATAATCAGACCCCTGTATTCCAGGTTCCCGTCTCCCTGAAGGACCGCCGGACCGGTACTAGAAATGCCATCTGTGACCAGCCATCATCGGTGCCACGACACAGGGAAGTGTCGAGTCGCCCCATGTCGTGTTTATATCGATCCTTACTCGAGAGATGTGAGATTATGCCCCAGCTTGACATCACAGGGGAGAGGTGGAAGATTACATCAGGCAGATTATCGTCTTCCATCATGAAGTTTCCTTTGTGCCAGAGTTCCCCAGTAGTACAGTTCTGTGGACAAGACAGCCACACCATTCCAGTTAATAGTGCACATGAGTCTGTGTGGAGTTGTATCCACGTACTAATTTGGTTTGTCTTTTCTTTTATAGAACCCCAAACCAAATTCCTTTTGGTGGGGAGGTGTTACGGACCCAATCCA